GTCTTGTCAAAACAAAGTACCATGGTTGAAGTCTTCTACGGTCCCATCACATTTCAAGCAGAGAGGCCTCCATTTCTCTTCAGCTGATTCCGATTTGAGTTCTTCTGGGCTGAGTCTCTCATCATTTCCCCAGAACGCAGAATAGATCTGCTCATCCACTTTGGTGAGTTTCAGGAATTGTGGATCAGCTGGTGAAATCAGCTTGTAATAGACTTCAGCACGCTGCATTGCTATCCAGGCCCAGCCATCGCAGTATCGGCATGGTTGCTACTTGACTTGGTTGAGAAAGAGCACGTGTCACAGACAACAGCTCCCTGCAACTGGATCATCAGGTCTACCCGTAGCCTCTCTGTTGCAGTCTGGGCAGCACAGATTTTTTTTTTTTTGAATAGTTGCGTTATATATCTGCTTACCCAGCTGAGCATCCAAAATCTGAAAATCTGAACTACTCCAGTGAGCATTTCCTTTGAGCATCTTGTTGGTGCTCAAGAAGTTTCAAATTTGGGGAGCCTTTTGGATTTTAGGTTTTCAGATTTCTGATACTTAATAATACTGTGTGCCCTACTTGATACATGCAGCTATTAGAGGGGGGAGGTAAATAATGAGATGACACGTTGCAACTTGTTAAGAACTCTATTTTCAGAGTCAAGATGGCAGTTGGGGGCAATGTATGACACAGATTACAGCCACAGGAGCTAGGAGTGCCTGCCGGGCCTCCTCCCCAGGAGGCACCTGGGGCGACACACACACGGGGTACAGTGACAAAGAGAAAGCAAAGTTCTACATTAGCACTAGCTGGGCTTGAGTCACAAATGCCAAACAAGTCCTCTGATAAACTGAACTGGGGCATGTAGCTCATGTTTGAGGCTTCCAGAAGCCTCTCCTTGTTCATTGCATCACTGGTGCCAAGGGTTAAAACATTTAGCACGCTAATGTGTAGGATCAGCTCTGAGGAGGGTCAGAGCAGGCCCCTGAAAGGGTCCATTTTCTGTGTGTGGTTTTTAAAATGCACATCGACCGCCCCCATTGGTGACCTCGGCCCCATCAGCACCCTATGCTAATGTTTCCCCGTTCTTACTCTTCCCTTCAATTTCACTTCTCAGAGAGTGGAATTTGGTAAATGTTTGCCTTATTCCAAAACAGTTCAGATTTGTCTTTAAGAGTTGGGCATACACATGGTGATTATCTGTGGAACATATCACCTCTGATGGAGAAATTAATTATACTGAGAAGAGGCAAAATGACATTAGATTCCCATGTTCATTTCTTGATTCAAATCTGACCTGGAAAATGTCGCAGGTGGTGAGCGTGGAAGTGTTCCAGTTGGGTATATGGCCACGTTTCTTGCTGAAGCTGTCTGCATATGATTCTGCTTAACCATACTTTCTGGTTACTTTGCATAAGCAGCAGCTAGTTCTTGGGCCAGAACCATCCTTCCCTTTCCTAGGGTCAGCTTAGAGTCTGGGAGCTTTGCTTGGTCTGACACAGGCAGAAGGGCTCTCTCCCCTTACGGTGTGTCCTGGCTACAGTCTATGTCCTCATTCTCCAAGCCCGGGATGTTCCCGAAGGATAGCAATTCTGCTGTGATCCTGCCAAGCCTGGGCTTTATGCTGCTCACAGGAAACCTGTTCCCTTGGTGCTCACTATCTCTCCAGGGTACTTCCAGGAAACGGGGCTCAGTATCTGTGTACTGTAATTTTCCTACCTCCGTCCCCTCCCAAGCCTAGGGAAATAACACCTTTCTCTCCACCATCTCTGCTCCACCCTGCGGTCCCTTAAGGAGGGCAGGCTTTCTAGGAAGCCCTTTGTCTTCCAGAAGTTTCTTATTTCTGCCCTGTAAACATAAATCTTCCATGGGGTGCTTTGGAAAGGGGAGTGAAAATATGCAAATCAAAATCTCAATATGTCATTTTGCTCCAGAGATGTTTATTTGAAAAGGTTTTATTGAAATATACATACAATAAACTACACACATTAGAAACATGCAGCTTGATCAGTTTTCATGGGTGTATAAACCCACGAAATCCCCACCATAATCAAGATAATGATTATATCCATCACTGCCAAATAGTTCTCTGTGCCCCTTTCTAATTCTTCTGGCCACTCCTGCTTGCTGGAAACCAGGAAACCACCGATCTGCTTGCTGTAGATGGAATTGTTTGCATTTTCTAGAGTTCTGTGTAAGTAGAAGCAGACAGTGCTCTTTTTGTCTGAATTCTTCTACTTAGCATAATTGTTTTAAAATTTATCCACGTTGCAGCACACATCAGCGCTGGGTCTACGGTAAGGCAAGTGACGTGTATAGGGTGAAAAATGCAATAAGTTCTTTATTTATTGTTGTTATTATTATTGCCAGGACACTTCATATGAGACCTCAACTCATAACAAATCTTTAAATGTAACACATGGTACTGTTAATTATAGGCACAGTGTTATACAACAGATCTCTAGAACTTACTTGTCTCGTACAACTGAAATTTATATCCCCTGAACAGGAATTCCCTATCTCTCTCTCTTTCCAGTACCTGGAACCATCCTTCTACTCTTCTGCTTCTATGAGTTTGGTTATTTTCAACACCTCGTATAAATGGAATCACACAGCATTTGTCTTTCTGTGATTGGCTTATTTCACTCAGCATAACGTCCTCCAGGTTCATCCATGCTGTTACAAATGGTAGAATTTCTTTCTCTCGTAATGCTGAATAATGTTCCACTGTATGTAGATCTCACATTTCCATTATCTGTTCATCTGCCAGTGGACATTTGGATTGTTTCTATGTCTTGGTTACTGTGAATAGTGCTGCCCTGAACATAGGAATGGAGACATTACTTTGAGATCCTGATGTGGATTCTTTTGGGTATAAACCCAGAACTGGAATTGATGGATCATATGGTAGTTTTATTTTTAGTATTTCAAAAAGCCCCCATACTGCTTTCCATAGCTATATTCCTAGCAATGGATTACAAAGTTTCCAATCTCTTTACTTCTTCACTAACATTTGGTGGGTTTTTTTGGGTTTTTTTTTTGCTGTTGTTGTTGGTAATAGCCATCCTGACAGGCATGAGGTGCCGTCTCATTGTGGTTTTGATTTGCATTTCCCTAGGGATGACCGATGCGGGGCACCTTTGCATATAGCTATTGGCCATTTGTACTTCTTCTTTGAAGAAATGTCTATTCACGTTCTCTGCCCATTTTTAAATCAGGTTATTTGGGTTTTTTTACTCTTGTATGAGTTCCTTATATGTAATATATTTTAGATATTAACTCCTTATCAAATACTACACATACACACACACACCTGGTTTGCAAATATTTCCTCCCATTTCAAATGGTTTTCTTCCCTTTGTCCATTGTTTCCTTTGTTGTACAAAATTTTTTTAGTTTTATGTAGTTCCACATATTTTTGCTGTGCTATTGGTGTCATAACTCCTATCTTTTCTTCTAGGAGTTTTATAGTTTTGGGCTCTATGTTTAAATCTTAATTTATTTTGAGTGATTTTTTTGTGTATGATGTGTGATAAGAGTCTAATTTTACTCTTTTGCATGAGGATAGCCAGTTTTCTCAGCACCATTTGTTGATAAGATCACCTTTTGCCTGTTGCATATTTTTGGCACCTTTGATGAAGATCAATTGACCTTATATGTGTGGGTCACTTCTGGGCTATTATGTACTATTGGTCTGTATGTCCACTTGTATTCAAGTACCATACTGCTTAAAGTAGCTTTGCACATATCTGGAAATCTGGAAGTGGGATATGTCCAACTTTGTTGTTGTTTTCAAAATTGCCATGGCTGGGTGGTGCCTGTGGCTCAAAGGCATAGGGCACAGGCCCCATATATCAGAGGTGGTGGGTTCAAACCCAACCCCTGTCAAAAACTGCAAAAAAAAAAAAAAAAATTAAAAAAATTGCCATGGCTATTTGGGGATTATTTTGCTTTTATATGAATTTTAAAATTGTTTTTAAATTTCTTTAACTAATGGTGTTGGGATTTTGAAATGCAATCAGTTCTTAATTGATTTCATTTCTTTTTTCTTCTCACAGTGGACTCTATTTTCCTGCTTCTTTGTATATCTGGTAATTTTTTTATTGCATGGGACATACTTACACTAAAAATGTTTTGTCGTTTATCTGAAATGATCACTTGGCTAAGTATGGTGAATTCTATCTGAGCTCAGTGTCTGAGAACTCTAGCCTCCTTGGCCTCTCTGGAGCACTTATCTTTGTGTCCTTACCTCAGGAGATTCTCCAGGCTCTGCCTGAGCTCTTGCTCACTGTGTAGCCTGGACATATTGTCGTGGCAGGAAGCTGGTGCAGTTGTAAGGCTCATCTTGTTTCCTATCTCGCAGAAACTGCTGTTCTTTGTTGTTTGGTGTTCATTATCCTAAAATCTAAATTTTCGTATGTTTTGTGCTTTTTGATTGTTTCACATAGGGGGACAAATCTGGTCCCTGTTACTCTGTCTTTGCTTGAAAGTAGCAGTCACTACTCAGAAGTTATTATTTTTAGCTAGCAGTCAGAACATGGTCCTAAGTGGGGCCAAAATTGTAAGTTTATCATAAGAGACTTTGCAACAGCTACCTAACACAATAACTCTATGGACCATTGGGATACCTGGTAGTTTGAAGGATGACCTACTACTATTAGGAAATTGATTAGAAATGCATATCTGCTAATAAGAGAATGGGGGATGGGCCCCTGAGGTTATACAAATACTGAGCATGAATCAGCATTCTACATTATATCACATTACTTGTTTGAGTTTGTTACAAAAGAGAGATTTGGCTGAGGGTCCAGTCTTGGAAGCCCAAATTGTGTTTGGAGCCACAGCTAGGAAGACAAGTCTGGTAGAGTCAGGGGAGTCCAACTGGGGTCATAGAGGGACTTTGGAAGTTGCAAGTTTTTTTATTCCCTGTTCAACCATCAGTGAGATTCTTTGTAGGGGCCTCTGGAAATAAAAACATGTGCTTTCTTTTCTTTTTGGTCTTCTCCTGGTCCAGCCATATGCCGCTATCCTCTGGGCATGTCAGGAGGCCACATTCCAGATGAGGATATCACAGCCTCCAGTCAGTGGTCAGAGTCTACAGCCGCCAAGTATGGAAGGTGAGGATGGTTGCCTGGAGAAAGCCCGAGTTCTGGGTTGGACAGATTTCCTAGAGACAGAGTTCTGACAAAGAGAGGTGATGCTTGCAGGAAGTGATCAGAGTGAAGGGCCTGTCCTTCTCTATATGTTTTGAGGGAGAGGATTCAGGGCTTGGCCACATATGCTGGGCTTGCAACCCTATTCCAACCACAGAGGCCCTTGGAGCCGCACCACCCACAGTGAATGGGCTCATTTATATGCAGTGGGTTTGCCTGAGCTGCTGCAGATGGAAAAGGGGCAGATTAGGTAGGATTTCTAGTTAGTGTCCATCCCTCTTCTCAGTGGGTGTCTGTGAAACCTTCTTTACCCTAAAGTACTGATGGTTGGCAGGGTTGGCAAGGAGCCACAAAGGAATGGGCAGCATCTATGGGCAAAGGCAGCCTTCTAGGGGAGAGGGAAAGTAAAAAGAGGGTCCCAGAATAAACCTCATATTGATTTCACAGTTTTGCTCAGGGGTAGCTTGGCCTGAGGGTAATAAAAAGAAAACAGATTATTTATAGTCCCCTGAGTTGCTTTTACCCTCGCCCCCACTGTGGGTTCCCATGGCTGCTTGTGGGCTGCTGTGGCCATCTCGCCTCACTGCAGAGCCCCTGCTGGAGACTCTCCCCTTTGTCCCTCCCACCCCACACTCACAGCTGGGTAGCTAAGCAAGAAGTGGCTGGCTTCATTGCAGCGAGTCTGAAAGTGGGAGGGGAGATGAAAAATGACTCTAGAGGGGAACTGAGGGTAGGAAGGGCTTGCTTTCCCTCCAAGTTTTTAAATCAGCATGGGAAATAAAAGTGGCATGTTATCTGATGGTCCATCTCCCTGGTGGTGACTGTCTCTGAGTTTCATGGTGCTCTGGGGAGAGGGATCTGACCACAAATGGGCACTGTGGAGGCAGTCAGACCTGTGGGGAGAACCCAAGAAGTTGATCTGGTTTGGGCTGCCAGCCTGTTCTGTCCTCTCAGTGCAGGGCAGCTGTGAATGGGTAAACAGCCCTGTGGTTTCATGGTTTCTCCCTCTCTCCACAACCCTCACCTCTCAAGGCTGGACTCAGAAGAAGGAGATGGAGCCTGGTGTCCTGAGATTCCAGTGGAACCTGATGACCTGAAGGAATTTCTGCAGATTGACTTGCACACCCTACATTTTATTACTCTGGTGGGGACCCAGGGGCGCCATGCAGGGGGTCATGGCATTGAGTTTGCCCCCATGTACAAGATCAATTACAGTCGGGATGGCACTCGCTGGATCTCTTGGCGGAACCGGCATGGGAAACAGGTAGAAAGAAGAAACGTCCAGACCGTGGGATGTCCAAGACCATATTTTGACCTAGGCTAGAAGAAGAAGAGCACGAGTTATCTGTGAGGATGTGTGTGTCCCCAGACCTGGCACGCCCTTGTCAATGTACACCCCAGCACGAAGGAGGGTGGGAAGTGGGCACAGAAAGGAATATCAAGACTGGGACAGCTGAGTGGACATTTTCTGCTTTTCAAATTAAAAGGACAGGGTTCATTACAAAGGTGATGAAGGGTGAAGAAAAGTGAGCCGGATTTAATACCATATCTTTACTTTCTCTCCTCTCTTCTCAGGTGCTGGATGGAAACAGTAACCCCTATGACATTTTCCTAAAGGACCTGGAGCCCCCCATTGTGGCCAGATTTGTCCGGTTCATTCCAGTCACCGACCACTCCATGAACGTGTGCATGAGGGTGGAGCTTTATGGCTGTGTCTGGCTAGGTAGGTCTCTAGCGCAGGGAGCTCATAGACCTTATTCAGAACCCCAACTCCTGGGACATAAAGACAATCAAATCAGAAAGGGAAGGGATCGCTTACCTCTGGAATGAAGTGATTCCCTCTCGGGTAGAGTAAAGAGGAACATTGCTCATTACACTGTGGCTTGGTGCCCCACACCTGTAATAAGGAGTTCAGAGCGACTCTGCTGACTGCACTGGGGAGTGATCCTCAGCAGCACTTCTTGTGTGTCCAGATTGAGTCCTGGTGGACAGACAGGCTGTGCAAACTTGTGCCCTCGGAACCCCACATGGCTCCCTTGAGTAAGTGCCCCTAAGCAGCAGGCACATCTCTTCCCCAAAGGTGCTGACACAGCTGTGTTTCCTTTGGCAGATGGCTTGGTGTCTTACAATGCTCCAGCTGGGCAGCAGTTTGTACTCCCTGGAGGCTCCATCATTTATCTGAACGACTCTGTCTATGATGGAGCTGTTGGGTACAGGTAAATTCTGAGAAAATTTGATCGCCAGAATGGGAAAACGGCCACTAAGAGGGAATAAGATTTTATCATGGCTTGGGATCAATAATCAATCAATCAGCTAACTAGTATTTGGTCTCTGTACTAAGCATTTTGAGATAATTTAGACGAAGGAATATACATGATCTTTATTTCCAAGAAAGTTAAAGTCTACTTTGGAAAGACAGGGTAATCATACATAAAAAAATAATAAATGACTCAAAGCAAGGGCTAAACTTTGTGGTCTAGCTTTAAGTATGGTAGCCATATTTTTGACCCTCAAACCAAGACATATGGTCTGATAAAAATATTGGTCTACTAATAGGAACAAAGGGCTAGAGAACTGAAGTAATAAGTATACTACGTTGGGCAGGTCAAGAAGTTTAGGAAGAATGGACCTCATAAATATAAAAGTGTGAAAAGAGGGAGACTTTTAAGGCTTATGATAGATGAGGAAAGTTTCCAGGATAACATGAGACATGAAGCAGAGGAAGGTAGGTAGAAAAGAACAGAAAGAAGGAGGCAGGGCTGAGGGCAGGAATGGCCTGTCTGTGGCAGAAGCTGGAGCTGAAAACAGCAGAGCAGACCAAAGCGTAGGCTTGGCACAACTCAGTGGAGGGCTGTGCTGGAGTGTGTATGGTCAGATCCAGGAGGAATCTAAGGTTGGATAAGAGATGGTCCTGCCTATCCCATTTCACCAATACTTTTCCCTCCTAGCTCATTCTTTATCTGCAAATATTGAACCTGGGAGAATGGTCAGACCATGGTAAAATCCAGGCCAGATGACAGAGGTTGATAGGGGTTAAGAGAAGATAGCAGGGAGTGTCAGAAGTGGAGTGTGGAATTACAGCCTTCCACTGGCTTAGGTGTGGATAATCAACCATGACCCCCAGCTGCTATCCCCACTCTTGATGTCTGAGTCATCCAGTCTTATATTCCTAGTCATTTCCTTTCCATGTCCTCAGTCACAGTTCTTCCTCATTTACTTAAACTGTCTTGGCATTATTTCACCTGGCCACATTGCAACAGGCATAGTCAACGCATTGAGAAATAAGAAATCAACTGAATTCTGTTGAGCTTAATAAGTGTTTATTAACTGCTACTGCAAAAACATTGGCTAGGCATGGTAGATATTCATGATGATGAAAGCATTGATTCTACCTTTAAGGAGCTCACAATTTGGAATGGAGGCTAAAAGAGGATATGCATTACTGCTATACAATAATATGAGTTGGAGAGAGCCTATATTTACTCTTGGGCGGAGGGGTCAAAGGAAAGAGTAAGCTTAGTGGGAATGCACAAGATAGAGAGGGAAAATACTTGGATTCATGTTATAAAATTTACTTCTGTTTGCTTTGAGGGTTAGGGATTAAAAATGTATAAGAAAAGTATTTTGTAAAGATCAAGTGCTATCTGTATGTAAGCTGTTACCTGATTGGAGGTCCAGGAAAGATACAAGAGAATAGATAAATTTGAATTGGGCCCCAGAGGATGGGTAGAACTTTTACAGTTAGAGAATCTTGAAATGGAATTTCTAGGCAGAGGAACAAGCATGAGAAAAAAGTACAATCATGACTGTAAAGTTTAGGGAAATGTCTAGGAAAAAATTAACAGTTTACTTAATCACAGGCCACTATTTATGTAGCAAAGAAGTAGATGAGAAGCATAACAAGAAAGACGATGTCATATTTTGGAGGAACTTGAAATCAAGGTGAGGAAGAAGGAGACAAGGAGGAGGAGGAAGAGGAGTTGTTGTTCTTTATGAAAATTATCAACATAATGAGTTATTGATGATTTGTAATGCAAGGCCAAGACATGATTGGAGCTTGAGACAGATTAATCAAACAGTATGGAAATTTGTCTATCTCTGAAAGTTTTACCTATCTTTGGGGCCCAGTTCCTATTTCATTTGTTCTGTCAGGTCTTTACTGGACCTCCCATTGGGCACTGCACTTTAGAAAATACCCATTTGAGTGGAATGAGGGATGTAATAAGGGACATCATCTAATTTCAAATTTTGTCAAGTAAAAAGAATTAATGACCAAAGCCATCATCACGACTGAGGGAATGGTAATAAGAATGATTTAAGGAACATTTGACATCTGTTTGGATATAGGGGGCAAGACAGTAGGGAGAAAGAGTGAGTCAGATGAAGCCTGTGGGTTTAAGTGGCTGAAATGATGGGGATGATAGTTTTTCACTCAACAAATAGATGTTGAGTGTTTACTGTGCACCAGGTACAGCAGCAGGGGCTGATCATGCATTTAGTTTAGGATATAAGCAGGACATCCAAATAGAGAAATAAGGAAAGTAGCTGGAAGTACCACTCTGGACTCCAGAGGAAAGATAAAAACGAATTACAGAAATTTTGATGCAATGGGCTTCTACTTAATAACCAAGGAAGTAAAAATATCTGGTTGAGCTGGCTGAGTGATGAGATCCAAGCTGCCTAGGTCAGGATCTCAGGAAATAGATTGTCATAGTAGAAAAAGTGACTTGATTAATTAACACGTTTCAAGAGTAATATATACTTGTAATAATTATTATAATTCTAAAGTATATACAGTAAACATGGACAGTTTCTTCCTTCTCCACTTGAGTTAGTATTGATCAAAGAGAATCTGAACAAGCATACTTTTAATTTATGTTGCTTTTCCTAAGACTTTCATTGGATTTATTTTTCGGGAGATAAAGGGAAATTTGTTTATTGCAAGTAAACTTATATTCTCCTAGCCTTCTGATCTGTAGAGAGAAGAAAAAGATGGAAAAACCTTGGAAGGGAGATCTAGGCTCTGGTCACTCTGGATAAGGCCAGCTGAATTTTATAATTTGCTAAACATTTTTTAGCAAATAAATATATTTTAAAATGTATCTGTGTGGTGGCATAATTAGTCTTCCTTTGCAATTCATAAATTTTACCTATCATTGACGTGTTATAAATCTCAAGGGTCATATCCCTTATGGTTGATGGTGAATATTCCAATCTCTTCATTTTGGAGACTTGTGATTTACCTTTCAGAGTTTGAGATGAAGAGCTTAAGGACAGAGAAGTTCCACATGATCAGTTCTTGCTCTGTCCTTCCATAAAAAGAAGGAAGGAGGCCTCTTTATGTTCTTCAAATAGTCAAATAAACATAAATATACCTATGTCCCATTGAGAAGTCAGGCTTCTGGCAAGCTCAGTCATTTAAAACAGAGCCTCACACTCAGGTTAAAAAAAAAAGGCTACCAAGCTAAAAAACAAAACTGAATCCAATACCTAAGACTTTCATGAAATCCATACATTTTACTTTATGGGTCTAGTATTCTACAAATTAAATTAAATTGATATTAAATTTAGAGATTACATTTTCCCCCTTTAGTTTGATGGCAAATTCAGTTGTTGGAGCCGTGGGTAGAAGAGGGTGTGACTGGCTTCTCTGAAATTGATTCACTGAACCATGACAACATACAGTCATAAGGGTTCAGAAAAATTTCCAAAAGCTCTGACATTTATTTGGTGATGGGGTAAGTGCTACTATTAATATTTACTCTGGTATTCATTCTGTGCCCTTATTCATTCCTTTATTTACTCAATGAATAAATCCATCAAAGGCATTTGATAATACTGAGTCATTATATTAAGGCTTATAGTATAATAGATTATACAAAGCTTTCATATAAAATGATGTTATTTAAAAGTTTTGCTCCTCAAGGGGTAACCATCAAGTATGTATGATTGATTTATATGAAATTCTTAGTTCTCCCCTAATGCAAGAAGAGAGAGTTGATACCACAATATACATTGAATTATTTATAATCCTTCAATTTCAAGATAATAAGCTCTTAAAAATCTAAGATAAAAAGCTCTGATAAGCTGTCACTAGGTGAAAGCTCTTGTGTGCCGTGTGATTAACTCAGGCTCCCTTCTCCTTTTCCTCCTCCTCTCTTGCCCTGAGCAGCATGACGGAAGGGCTAGGCCAGTTGACAGATGGAGTGTCTGGCCTGGACGATTTCACCCAGACGCATGAGTACCACGTGTGGCCTGGCTATGACTATGTGGGCTGGCGGAATGAGAGTGCCACCAATGGCTACATTGAGATCATGTTTGAATTTGACCGCATCAGGAATTTCACTACTATGAAGGTCAGTGGAATCAGGCATGGTGGAACTTCTTCAAGGAGGCTCACATCATAGTGTGGGAGAGAAAACATAGGCTAGAAAGAACTCCAGCTGAAGCCCAAAGCTGACATATATATAAATATATATATAAAAACATATACATATGTCAGCTTTTATATATATAAAATGTATATATTAACATATATATATAGACACACACACATATGGATGAAGCATCTATCCCACAAAGGCAATAATGACTGGGGCGTCTGAAAGTCATGACCTAGCCCTGCTCAACTCTCCCAGATACGTGACACACTCTTCTCAGTAAGAGTGGCCCATTGCAAGTCTGATTTTCAATGGAAGAGTAATTTCAACCATTCTCCACTCCTGGACTGTGTCTGTGCCCTGAGGTATCCTAACAGAAAACTTTGTATTCTTCTGTGCTCAGACTTTTTTGTTTCCTTGTCTATTATAACACACCTCTTGTCATTTATCTGAGTCTCTTATTAGACCAGGCTTCTCCAAGGTAGTGACTCGGCTTTATGATCTGTGTGTCCTAGTGCCTGTCACTTGGATGTTTGTGTCTGTAGCTCGAAAATGTTTGTGAATGAACAAATGATACCCTTAACTGCCTGTCTAACCATTCATAGTCATAAATATCTCTACCACTTTGGGTAGAAAGAGGAGACATGCTAGATGGGAATATGACATTGGAAAATTATATTTTCTATAAACAGAAACTAAAAGAATCTGGGCCAACCAAGCCTCTGTTACTCCTGGCGGGGTTAATTTCAGGATTCTAGACCCCAAGCTGAGTATGTTGGTCTGTCTGCTTTACGGGATCTCAGTGACTGTCCAGTTCAGGGAGTTAGCGGGGATCAGGGGGTCCAACCTGGTTGCTTTTGTATGGACTTTTCTTCCTTCCATTCCTTTCTCTCATTGAGATTGAATAAGGGTCAAAGGCTAACCCAAGTCTGCTATAAGGCCTAAACTGTAAATTTTTAGATGTTTTCCTTTGGGCTAAAATATCAAAACCTGAAAGTCTCTATGAAAACACAAATACTTCACCTGGTAGAGAGTAAAATACTAAAAAATTAATATCTTCGGTGCAATAAGAGAAGTTATGTTATTGGCTTATTAGCACATGGCAGTGAGGAGGGAGGAGGTAAATTGTATCAAAGGATGTGTCAGAAGGCAGGAGGCCTAGGAAAGGTCTAGAATAGATGGAGATGGGGCCTGTGATGGATCATGGTAAGTGCAGACACCTGAGAAGAGCTGGGGCCAGAGACTTTAAGGCCTGATTGTCATTTTCTCTGAAGCAGACCTGCATAGGAGAGCCCAGCCTTAATGTAAGGTTGAGGACATCTCTTTTAATAAAAGGAGTTTTTTAGTACTCAAATAATTATTCTCCTTTTCCTTTATTCAATCTCAATGAGAGAAAGGAATGGAGGGAAGAAAAGTCCATTCAAAAAGCAACCAGATTGGATGCGAATCCTGAACTCTAGGCTTGAGGAAAAGTAGGAGTTAAGGGGGAAAGGCTATATGTCCTCTTCCTTCACTGACTATGGTTAAAACACACCATTCAGATACATGTATGTGAATGCATTTAAAAACCATATTATACGTATTAAGTAAGTATGCACATCCACATGGGAATGGATGTAAAAAAGAGATCCCAGGAGCTTATGTGGTTCGCATATAACTCTTACTGGCTTATGAAGGAACTTGAGAGGACTCTAAGCCCCAAGAAAGAGAATAGGCAACATGGACCCGGTGTTTATCTGTTCTTTATTACAACTAATAGTTGGGTGCAGAATACTAATGGCCATGCCGGGTGTGGTGGCTCACACCCGTAATCTTAGCACTCTGGGAGGCTCAGGCGGGTTGATTGCCTGAGCTCAGGAGTTTGGGACCAGCATGAGCCAGAGCAGGACCCCCATGTCTAAAAATATAGCCAGGCTTTGTGGTAGGTGCCTGTAATCCCAGCAACTTGGGAAGCTGAGGCAAAAAAATCACTTGAGCCCAAGAGTTTGAGGTTGCTGTGAGCTGTGACTCCATAACACTTTACTGAGGGTGACAAAATGAGACTCTGTCTCCAAAAAAAAAGAACACTAATGGCCAAAAAAAAAAAAAAACACAAACAAAAAAGAAAATTAGAAACTGCCTCTGTGTGCACGGAGTCCTCATTTCAATATTTGTTTTCTAAATCCACCCATTCTTTCTATCTGTGTTACTAATTTATCCGCAGTATTTGGTATTATGCTAGATTCTGGGAATAAACAGTTGTATAAGAAATGGTTTCTACTTGGGATATTTTGCAATTCCATGAAGGTACTGTTTGTTAGAGGAGGTAAGTAGGGTGACGTAGGTCACAGAATGAGGAAATCTGCATTATCATGAAGGGTTCTTTGCAAATCAGAATTTGTTATTTTTTACACAAACTGGGAGTCGAAAGGAAATGTATGTGAATTGTATTATTCCCAGATGTTAATGTGGCAACACTTCCTAATTGGATTAATAGCTATTAGTTAAATGAACAGATATTTAAGATGAGAACAGAAGGACCAACACATGCTCCATCTGCTAATTTATTGTTCAAGGATGGCTTTTTGGCAGTTGTAAAACGTAAGTGTGTGTGTAGCTGTGTGTGACACATTTTCGTAGTTTTTTTGGGGTGGGGATGTGCATAGTAACAAAAATGTGCTTTCTGAGAAAGTTTATTTGTACTGATGAATAATGTGTGTATGTATCTCTGAGAACATATATAAAATTCACAATTATATAACTTTGGGAGAATTTCTAGTCCCACTAAGAATGAAATGTATTTATTTTAAACTCTCCATAGTTATAATATGTAAGCAATGGGCTTTGACTTTCTTGATTCCTCAGCAACTTATGTTTAATGAGTTTATCCCAAGTTAAAGTCATTCAAAAGCATATTCTGCAATGGAAAGTTACCAGAAACTTCTAAGGAGCTTACTCAAGGCCAGTCTTTTCAAAGCCAAAGAAGTCTCCAGCATATTTTCATTTGCTGGAGGTAATTAAAAGGTAAAGAGTGGCTTTCAGAGCACTGATGTCTTCTAGAGCGTAGTCTTTACTTGCTACACAAATTACTGATCATCTTCTCCCACTGACATATAGTTTAAACACGCCAGTAAGATACATACATACGAATGTGTTTAGAAACTGTATTATATTTATTAAATAAGTATGCACATCCACATGGGAATGAAATCCTGTGCTACTTATTTGCATTCCAGGAGAATTCTCAAAACATCTGTGGGAGAAACGATTACCTTCCCCACAGGATACTTATTCAACGCTTTGCAGATTTCAAAACATCTGAAAAATCTATTGAAATTGTACATGATTTTTCTTTGATTTTTTTCTTAGCCTTGTTTTATTGACTTGTGTTCAATAAACTGGAACAGTTAATTCGTCCCAAAGAAAGTGTTAACAACACATGTTTTCGTCATTAAAACATGAGAGGGAAAATCCAAATGGAAAAGTTAAGATGGTTCACTCCATTTCTGTGTGGGATAATATGTGGAAAGAGTGCTGGGCTGGGAGGCCAGGGTTCTAGACCCAGGTCCAGTGTAGACTGATCACAGGCCAAGATAGGGTTCTAGACCCAGGTCCAGTGTAGACTGATCATAGGCCAAGATAGGGTTCTAGACCCAGGTCCAGTGTAGACTGATCACAGGCCAAGACAAACCTCCTGATTACCAGTGCATTGTTAGTAAGTGGAGAGCTGGACTAGGTGAATTTTACAATCTCTTGTCACTCTTGGTTTTCTATTCTGGGAGTATCCCTGCTTTGTTTCTTTAGTCATTGCTATTGCTTCTTCAGCGGAATATAAGTTGTGAATGGTAGTCCTGTATTGACTACCCAGAAATCAGAGGAGGGTGGTGGAAACAGTTAAAGGCTTACAACTCAGGACCTAAGCAAGACATTAAAACAGAAACAGGAGATAAATTCCCAGGACAAAAATGATGTTTTACCAACTTATGAAGTCTTCATTCTTATTTTTATTTTTAGTTTCTTGAGACAGAGTCTCACTCTGTCACTTTAGATAGAGTATGGTGGTGTCATAGCTCACAGCAACTCAAACTCTTGGGCTCAAAGCCATGCTCTTGCCTCAGCCTCCCTGGTAGCTGGGGCGACAGGCACCTGCCACAACGCCCGGCTGTAACTTCAGAAGATGGTAGTCAGCAAAGCCCCATTTCCCGTGTAGGTCTGAGCCAGAGGAAGTGTTACTGAACTATCACTTGAATTGGTTACAAATATGCACATTCTTTATATGACAGCAAGGTACTACTGGGAGGCTGTTGTGTAATCTTTGCTGCTGATGACCCTTAGAAGCCGTGTACATATCTTGGTAAAATGGTCAGGGCATCAGGCAAGAGGGTTCAAGTTAACTTCCAACAGAACTTTTCTCATCTCAGAAATATCTATGCAGAAGATTCGATGGTTTCATCAGACTGGCTTTACCTCAACTGAATTTAATTAAGAAAGATGATTAAGTCTGCGTCTCTGGCTGAAAAATGCTAACACATGCCATTTGAAATGAGATTGCTAAATAGGAAAGATAATGGCGCAGAACCTGGCGAGGTGGCTGGGTGGCTGCCTGCCGGTGTCAGTATTGGGAATGGTGCCACCTCCTGAAAATGTCAGAATGAATTCAGTTAATTTCAAGAACATTCTACAGTGGAAGTCACCTGCTTTTTCCAAAGGGAATCTGACTTTCACAGCTCAGTACCCAACTTATAGGAAATTCCAAGATGTATGCATGAGAGCTGTCTCCATGGAATGTGATTTCTCAAGTCTTTCCAAGGGTGGGGACCACACCTTGAGAGTCAGAGCTGAATTTGCAGATGAGCATTCAGACTGGGTAAACATCACCATTGGGCCTGCTGGAATACAAGCAGAAATGCACGCTGATTCTTTACATATGCGTTTCTCAGCCCCCCGAATTGAGAACGAACCTGCAACATGGACCATGAAGAATATTTATGACTCGTGGGCTTACCATGTGCAATACTGGAAAAATGGTACTGATGAAAAGTTCCAGATCACGCCTCAGTATGACTTTGAGGTCCTCAGAAACCTAGAACCATGGACAACTTATTGTGTTCAAGTTCAAGGGTTTCTTCCTGATTGCAACAAAACCGGCCAGTGGAGTGAGCCTGTCTGTGAGCAAACAACTAATGACAAGACAGTCCCCTCCTGGATAGTTGCCTTGGTCCTCATCGTGTGTGCCTTTGTGGCCGTCCTGGTGCTCCTGGGCTGTTTTGCTCTGCTGTGGTGCATTTACAAGAAGACAAAGTACACCTTCTCCCCTGGGAACCCCCTCCTGCAGCACCTGAAAGAGTTTTGGGGCTACCCTCATCATAGCACACTTCTGTTTTTCTCCTTCCTGCTGTCTGATGAGAATGAGGTTTTTGACAAACTAAGTGTCATTGTAGAAGACTCTGAAAGCAGCAAGCAGAACCCAGGTGACAGCTGTAGCTTCAGGACACTCTCTGAGGAGGGACCCTAGAGCTCATCTCTGAGGCGGAAACACACTTGGCTGGGTACAGTGACCCCTACCCCTCACAGCTGCCTCAGGCAGTGATCAAAGCCACAAACAAAGCTGAGATCCCCTGAGCCAACCCCACTTCTGTAACTCCTGCTCCTCAGACTTGTGTAAACAACCAAGGAGCTTGACTGTAGAGGCTCACTTGGCAAAAACACTCCACCTTGGGAACTGACTTCTTTATAAAGGTCTTAACAATTTTCTTTTTTAATTTTTAACAATTTTCTTTAAAAAGTTGACCACTGAGACTTTGAGCCCATAGCACAGTGGTTACAATGCCAGCCACATATACCAAGGCTAGCGGGTTCAAACCTGACCCAGGCCAGCTAAACAATGACAACTGCAACAAAAAATAGCCAGGCATGATGGCAGGTGCCTGTAGTCCCAGCTACTTGGGAGGCCGAGGCAAGAGAATTGCTTAAGCCCAAGAGTTTGAGGTTGCTGTGAGCTGTGATGATATGGCACTCTACCAAGGGTGACATAAAAAAAAAAAAAAAAAGTTGGCCACTGAGACTGTCATTGTCAGCTTTTAAGCTCACTAAATTAGGACCCCTTTTTAATAATGAGAAATGGACATATTTAAAAGGAGGAATAAACATGAAGAGACTGGTCATCCAGGAGCAGGTTGTATTTTTTTTTTAATAGAAATGCTGTAAAATTCTACCAGATACCAATAGACTGATCAGAAAAGGAACCTCAATTCAAAAGTGGTTAGCACCATGCTGTACAGAACACAAGGCTTTTTGTATTATTCTCTGTAATACTTTGACTGGATTTATTTTTCTACCTATGTATGTTTTATATGTATACTACTGGTGCTCCATTAAAGTTTTTTTCTCTATCAAAAAAAATA